TTTCTAGGGATACAGGAACGGTGGTTCCTATCCCAAATCGTGTTGTTCATTCTTGATTTCTTTAGATTTTATCATGGCTTGGCAAAAAACCAGAAAGCACAATGATGACAAGATGAAAGTTTTATAAAGCAAATTAATCGGCCAACGGGCCGAGTAAACGCTAGCAACGATTGTGAGATGCTCATTTCCCGAAAACCAGCAGGATAGGCGATTTTTTATTATATTTTCTGGAATTCAGTTTCTATAAAACTTACTCCATCTCATCATATTACCAGAAACAATATTGTTTCACAAGGTAACAAGTACTTGATTTTGGTTCATAAGGCTAATTTTTGATTCGTTGCATCATTCATGTCTCTTTCCTACTAAAATTCACTATTTTTATCATGTGTTTCCCAAAAAAAACTATACAACAATAAGCTATACACCCCATTACATTATCAAATTTCATACCTCACCTTCCTCCGGCCAAATGGCGGGGGCCCACGCTAGTGATTATCATAATCCATAAAATATCAGTCAATCCATATAAAGGATTATGAATGTTACGATCAATATGCTATAAGTAACATTAAGGGATCGTTTGGAAGTTGCGATTGTGAGTGTTGTATTTATTGAATACATGCATTGTCCATAATACAACGTTTGGAATTGTCAAAGTGTGAAACAATGCATGTATTGTTTTGTGTGGGTCCCGCCTACAATCACAAAAAATAAGGTTTTATACAATCTCAACTAAAAGTTGAGATTGTTGCCTTTAGGTTTCTATCTCCTTTTTATTTCCATTTATATTCCTAGTAAATGAGATGAAGGGGAAAAGAGTTATATGTTAAAATAAAGGATAAATGTGATATATCCACCAAAAAGTTACTTTACGTAAGTTGATCACGAAATTATAAACTCAACAACCAAACAATGTAATGTTAAATGCAACGATTGTATCAATACATGTAATTTATATTGCAATGATTCTTCATAATACAAAGATTTAACATACGCAACTTCCAAATGACCCCTAAGTTCTCATACTATATTTTGAGATTTAACTTAGGAATTTTGAATCATTAAAATATACACCACCATAACCATGTCTTTTCATGCCTCAACGCTAAGGGGTCGTTTGGTTTTGGTGATTATTTGGTTGAGAATTGAGATAGTTAAAATGCATGTATTGTCCACAATGCATCGTTTTTTTGAATTTTCTACACAAACAATACATGCACTGTTTGATTGATTTGACACAAACTATCACTCAAAATGAGTGATAGTTAAATCTCAAGTTTTTGGTGAGACTATTGAGATTGTTGTATTATTTTTTCTTCCAACTATGTCCCTACCTTTTTATGTGTGTTGCTTTTTTATATTAAAAAGAAAAGGTAAAAGTGACATTGCATCCAAAAAGTAATATAACTTATTTAAATAACACAACAACTATCACAAAAACCAAACGATGTAGACTACAATACACCAATTTTCTATATACATGTATATTATTATGCATGCATTGATGACAATGCATATATTTAACTATCACCGAAAGAAACAACCAATGTACAATCTCTTAATTAATATTTTTTTCTTATCTAACGTGCTATATATGGCTATAAGATAATCAGGTTCTTCAAGAATATAATTTTGGATGGAAAATGTACTCCTCTTTTAATTATTGGAAGGGATAAAAAAAAACTATCTGATTACTTTATTTGCGTATAGTAAAATGACTTTCAGTTTATATGGGTCAAGCTCACAATATATGAGATGTAGAAAGCCTAAATAGCCCTTCCTATCTATGCGGCGAGGCTGAGAAAATTAGAATGGGGAGGGTGCTGGCGAAGAAAGTCTATATAGTATTGGGTAGATAGACTACATCTTGGTTTCCAACTTCGAGAATAAAGGTTTATCTGTAAGGGTGTGCACTGGATGGATCAGGTGGATTTCAGTGTCAAATTGGCCCACCAACTTACTAACAAATTAGTATAACTCTGATTCCTATTTATTCACATTTTTCTTTGAGTTACGTGGGTCGGGTCGTAAGTGAGTGTGATTGGGTTATTTGGGTTATGAGTTAGGTAAGTTGATTACATTTATAATAAATTTCTTACATTTGTAAGAAAACAACTTAGACACTTTTCGGTCGATTTTTTTAATGCTATTATTCATCCATTTTGAAGGATTTTCGTTATAGATTTTGACCGATTTTTTTAATGCTATTATTCACTGATTTTAAAGACTATCCTTAACAGATATTGAACGTTTTTAAGATACTATTATACATCGATTTTGAATGCTATCTATCACAAATTTTGGCTGTTTTTTTGAATGCTATTAGACCGATTTAGAAGGCTATTCATAACATTTTTGACCAACTTTTTGAATGCTATTATTTACCAATTTTGAAATCCATCACAGATTTGAGCCTGTTTTTTTATGTTATTATTCACCAATTTTGAAGGTTATCTATCACAAATTTTGCCTAAATTTTTTAATGCTATCATTCTCCAATTTTTAAGGCTATCCACCACATATTTTGGCTAATTTTTGAATACTATTACTCGCCAATTTTAAAGGCAACCCATAATACATTTTGACCAATTTTTTTAATGATATCATTCATCCATTTTGAAAACTGTCCTTCACATATTTTGGCCAATTTTTTTGAATGCTATTTTTCACTAGTGTTGAAGGCTATCCACCCACATATTATGACGTAGTTTTTTTAAAAGATATTATTCATAGATTTTGAATGGTACAGATCACTAATTCAACCAAAAGTTGTTCTTCAACGATGATTCAGTCGATTAAGCACAGATTTGGTCGTATTTCTTCCGATATCATTTTTGGCAGATTCCAAAGGGGTACCATCATCGATTTCAGGCGATTTTTCCGAAATGTTATTTTCTTTGGATTTGGATGCTACAGATCACATATTCAATCTGGGGCTATTCCTCACCGACAATGAAGTCTATTGATCCTATTATTCACCTATTATTAAGTCTATTAAGAACCGATTTGGGCTAATTTACTTTCGGATGTCATTTTTTTAATAATTTGGGCGAATTTTTTTTTCGAAATACCATTTTTCTTAGATTTTTGAAGGCTACAGATCACGGATTCGACCTGAGACTATTCTTCAACGATGACTAAGTCCATTAAGCACCAATTTAAGCGTATTTGTTTTCGGTCCATTTTGGCATATTCCAAAGGGGTACCATCACAGATTTGGATGATTTTTTTCGAAATGTCGGTATCTTTCGATTTTGGAGGCTACAAATCACAGATTCAACCCTAGGATATTCTCCACCAATAATGAAGTCAATTGATCCAATTCTCCGCCGATGATTCCGTTAAGCACCGATTTGAGCGAATTTATTTCCGGATGACATTTTCGTAATTTTTGGGTGATTTTTTTCGAAATACCATTTTTTTGGATTTTGAAGACTACAGATCACAGATTCAACCAAAGACTATTCTCTACCTATAATGAAGTCTATTGATCCGATTCTCCACCGATGATTAAGTCCATTAAGCACCAATTTGACGAATTTATTTTATCATGATATTTTCATACTTTTTGGGCGATTTTTTTCGAAATACCATTTTCCTTGTATTTTGAAGGCAAGAGATCAGGGATTCGGCATGACGCTATTCTTCAACGATAATTAAGTTCATTAAGCACCGATTTTGGCGAATTTCTTCCATGTCCATTTTTGGCAAGTTGCAACGGAGTACCATCACAAATTTCGGACGATTTTTCCGAAATGTCGTTTTCTTTCAATTTTGGAGGCTACAGATCACAGATTCAGTTCGAGGCTATTCTCCAACTATAATGATGTTTATTGATCCGATTCTCCACCAATCATTAGGTCCATTAAGTACCGATTTGGGTGAATTTATTTTTGGATGATATTTTTTAAATTTTTTGTGAGATTTTTTTTGAAAGCCTATTTTCCTTGGCATTTGAAGGCTACAGATCGCGGATTTGGCCTTAGGCCATTCTTCAACAATGATTAAGTCCATTAAGCACCGATTAGGGTGAATTTCTTCCAGGTACATTTTTGGCATATTTCTAAGTGGTACTATCACATATTTCGGGCGATTTTTCTGAAATGTCATTTTCTTTCGATTTTGGAGGCTACAGATCACGAATTCTGCCCGAATCTATTGTCCATTGATAATAAAGTCTATTGATCTGATTATCCAATGATGATGAGTCCATTAAGAACCGATTTTGGAGAATTTATTTTCCGGATGACATTTTCGTAAATTTTTAGCCGATTTTTATTAAAGACCTTTTTCTTTGGATTTCTAAAGCTATAGATCGCGGATTCGGCCTATGGCTATTTTTCAACAATGATTTAGTCCATTAAGTACCGATTTGGGCGAGTTTCTTTTAGGTCTATTTTTGGTAGATTCAAAAGGGGTATTATCATAGATTTCGGGTGATTATTCGAAACTGTCATTTTCTTTCGATTTTCGATGCTACAAATCACGAATTAAGCCCAAGGTTATTCTCCACCGATAGTGAAGTTTATTGACCCTATTCTCCATCGATGATTAAGTCCATTAAGCACCGATTTGGCGAATTTATATTCGGATGACATTTTCGTAGTTTTTTGGATGATTTTTTTCGAAAGTCAATGTTCCTTGTATTTTGAAGGCTACAAATCGCGGATTCAACATGAGGCTATTGTTCAACAATGATTAAGTCCATTAAGCACCGATTTGGGTGAATTACTTCCGGGTCCATTTTTCACAGATTCTAATGGGGTACCATCTCAAGTTTCGGGCAATTTTTCCGAAATGCTATTTTCATTCGATTTTGGATGCTACATATCACTAATTCAGTTCGAGGTTGTTCTCCCTCGATAATGAAGTATATTGATCCTATTCTTCACCGAAGATTAAGTCTATTAAGCACAAATTTCGGCAAATGTATTTTCGGATGACATTTTCTTATTTTTCTTATGATTTTTTTCGAAATGCCATTTTTTTGGATTTTGAATGCTACATATCCCTTATTCAGCCTATGGCTATTCTTCAATGATTATTAAGTCCTTTAAGCACCGATTTGGGTGAATTTCTTTCAGATATATTTTTGGCAGATTCTAAATGGGTACTATCATAAGTTACGGGCGCTATTTCCGAAATGCAGTTTTCTTTTCAATTTGGAAACTAATAGATCACAAATTCATTTCAGGCTATTCTCCGCCGATAATGAATTCTATTAATGCGATTCCCCACTGATAATTAAGTCCATTAAGAACTGATTTGGGCGAATTTCGGATGACATTTTCAGAATTTTTTGGGTAATTTTTTTTTCAAATTCCATTTTCCTTGGATTTTGAAAGCTACAGATCAAGGACTCGATCTGAGGCTATTCTTCAACTATAATTCCATTAAGCACCGATTTATGCGAATTTCTTTCGGTTCCATTTTTTGGAGATTCCAAAGGGGTACCACCACAGATTTCGGCTGATTTTTCCGAAATGTCATTTTCTTTTCATTTTGGAGGCGACAGATAATAGAGTCAGCCTGGGGCTATTCTACCCTGATAATGAAGTCTATTAATCCGGTTCTCAACCGATGATTAAATCCATTAAGAACTGATTTGGACGAATTTATTTTCGGATAGCATTTTTGTAATTTTATCGGTGATTTTTTTCTGAAAGGTCATTTTTCTTAGATTTTGAAGGCTATAGATCACAGGTTCGGCCTGATGATAGGGGTGGGAAAGGTGTGGTTGCAGTTAATTGCACCGAATAAGCGCGGTGAACCGCCATCACACAAGGAGAAGACCACCCACTGTTACCGCAATACAAACGGTTTGCGGTTAACTACTAATCGCAAATCATGGTTAGCGGTTAATTGCATTTAACAAAACATCAAACCGCAAATCGCGAACGACAACACCTCCTCCTCTGTCGCTCGTGCTTTGCTCTGCTTCTCGATGGTCGATGGACGGGGACGCCTGCTCTTCTGCTCGTGAATGCTGCTAGTGGAGCTGGACTGACTGCTCATGCTCGGCTGCTCGCTGGCCGCTGCTCTTCCTCTTCACCAACGACGGTCGACAAAGCCACAAAAGTTTAGGCATTCAGGTTCAGCGAAGCTGCTGCCTGCGGGCAACAAATGAAAGGTCGAAACTCGAAAGGAAGGAATGGAACCCTAGGCCGATTTTGGAACTTGGAAGTTTGGAGATAGTTTGGGATTGCTTTTTGGGACGTTGGATGGGTCGGGCCTGGGCTGGGCTTACTCTTGCACGGTTAGTTATTCGGTGTGGTGTGCTGTTAGACCACAAATCGCAAAGGAGCCAAGTCCACTAACTTTTACCGAAAAAGGCCTTTTTATACGGTTTGCAGTTAACCACAAACCGCTCTTATTCGATGCGAGTGCGGTATAACTGCAAAATCGCAATAATTTTCCCACTCCTATATGGGGTTATTCTTCAATGATGATTAAGCCCATTAAACAATAATTTGGGTGATTTATTCCGAGTCCATTTTTTGCATATTCCAACGGGGTACCATCACATATTTCAGGTGATTTTTCCCAAGCTATTCTCCAACGATAATGAAGTCTATTGATCCGACCCTCCACCAATTATTAGGTCCATAAAGCACCAATTTGTGCGTATTTATTTTTGGATGACATTTTTGTAATATTTTGCGTGACTTTTTTTTCGAAAGATCATTTTCCTATGATTTTGAAGGCTACAAATCACGTATTCGGCCTGAGCCCATTCTTCAACAATGAATAAGTCCATTAAGCACCAATTTGGACAAATTACCAGTGTTGTGAAAGCCGAGCCGGCCGAGCCGGCCGAGCCGCCAAAACCGCCAATCGGGCACAAAACCGGCTCGGATCAGCTATTTAGCCGGACTGGTTCTCTAGGGCGGCCGGCGAGCGGCCGAAGCGGTTAGCCGCTCTAGCCGGTCGTCCGGTTTTTTACATTCGGCCGGTTGGTGTAATTAAAAAAAAACTAAAAGACCGAAAATTAAAGGGGAAGGTGGGTCGGGTTCGGGCAGAACCCTAATTCCCAAATTTCATTCGCCATCTTCTTCTTCGTGGAGAGCCTAGAGACAAGAAGCGCCGTCGCCATCGCCATCTTCCCCAGCGCCGTCGCCATCTTCCCTAGCGCCGTCGCCGTCGCATCTGGACTGCACTTCAGCTTCCCCAGCGCTGTCGCCATCTTCCCCAGACCCGTCGCCATCGCCATCTTCCCCAGACCTGTCGCCATCGCCATCTTCCCCAGCGCCGTTCCCCGTCGCCATTTCCCTCCGATTTGGGCGAGCCCCTACCGGTGAGTGCCCCAGTGAGGCCTCCCTTCCCTTCCCCGTTCTCCATTACCATTACTACTCCGATCGATTACCCCCGGTGAGGTCTGCCTGCATTTTCCGATCGATTACCCCCCGTATAGTTGTGTAAAACATGGACTGATTATTCCCTGCCACACTGAATAATTGAATATATGTACTCCTGTTAATTATTTATTAGTTACGGATTCTATTTAGCGTCCAAACATTCCAATCAACCGAAAATGTGGTTGTCATGTGTAGGGATGGCATTGATATATGTATATATGGATAGAGGCTAAATTTGGGTTGGTTGGTGGTTTCCGTTTGAATCAATGATCAGCTAGCTAGTAACGATGTTGAAAATGACACAAGCTAGCCAGTCAGCAATATAAATAGAATCCAATCAACCTATAAATAAGAGATATAGCTGAGTCCATTGAATCTCGCCACATCCCAAGTACAAACCAGCTGGAGGCTGTAGTTCCTTTTAGTTTTGAGTTAGGGGAGGCAATCGATAATAGAGATGTAATCTTGCTGCACAAAAAAGACAGGAAGATGCTGAGAAAACATATTAAAGAATGTGGGGATAAAAAGTGATGTAGTTCCTAATACTACTTAGAAGCTAGATTAGTAATGGTTTATTCCCTGTCCCATTTAGCAATTTTTTTTGCTTACTTGTTAGATTTACTATTGTAAATTTGCTGATTCGATGTTTCTTTTGTAGATGAGTACTCCAAATCCATATAGTGGCACTCAATCAACAACATCGAGCTCTACTGCTTCAACTGGGCAAGCTGGTCGAGGAAAGAATGATCTTGCTTGGAATTACATTCAAGAACTCAAAGATGATAATGGGAAGGTAAAGGCACTCAAATGCATGCTATGTGGAATTGAGAAAAGGGGAGGGGGGTATTCATCGGATGAAAGAGCATCTTGCTCATTCTTCAAAAGGGAATATTGTGAAATATTCAAAAGTTCCCTATGATGTGCGTCTGAGATTTGCCAATATTCTTAAAGAATTTGAAGAAAAGAAAGATGGGAAGAAGCAATCTAATGATCCTATCATTGGTGACAAGCAATCTAATGATCCTATCATTGGTGCCAATCTAATGCAGCTAACTTAGATAGTTGGCAGAGGATGTTTGATGCTGCAATGGCTATTGGTCCAGGATTTAAGGTACCATCATATCATGATTTAAGGGTGCCTTTACATGCTGATTGGAAGAGAGAAACCCAGCTAATTGTTGATCAACACCGAGCCGTTTGGGGACAGCGTGGATGTACTTTAATGGCTGATGGTTGGACTGATCAACAAGGTAGAAGCTTGGTCAAATTATTGGTCTATTGTACTAGAGGTCTTTGTTTTCTTAAATCTGTTGATGCAACAAAGATTGTGAAGAATGCAAAAAACCTTTTCAAGATATTTGATGAAGCAATTCAGTGGATTGGCGTGGACAATGTGGTTCATGTGGTTACTGATAATGCAGCTAACTACAAGTCATGTGGTAAGATTATTCATAAGACTTATCCACATATTTATTGGTCCCCATGTGCAACTCATTGCATGTATTTGATATTGGGTGATTTTGGAGAATTGGATAATGTGAAGGCTGTCATTCAAAAGGCTAGAAGTCACTGTCTTTGTTTATAATCATACTCCTGTGATTAATTGGTTGAAAGCAAGTCATGTGGTAAGCACCATTGTTGAAGAACCTTGCACTTCGAGTCCTAAGCCAAACTTCTGCCTCTTCTGGATGTGAAAGAAATTGGATTGTGTTCGAGCGGATTCACACCAAGAAGAGGAACAAGATAGAGCATGAAAGACTAAGCAATCTAGTCCATGTGAACTACGACATGAAGCTAGCAAAGAGGTATATGATGAATAGCAAATGTGTTTGATTTGAGTACAAAATATTTTTGCCATGAAATAGTGACATACTTTACTTGTATTTAATCATTCATAGGTCTCGTACTAGAAAAAGTAAGTTCTTGGTTGATCCATTTGACTATGAATGGATTAATGCCACTGAATTTTGGGTTATGGATGAGGAAGAGGATCAACCTCCAGATCTTAGCTTTGATGAGTTGATGCAAGCTATGGGTGAGGATAATGCTACTGACATTCCTGAAGGAAGTGGAACTACAAGTAGGAAAAGAGGTCGCAATGAAGGTTGGATTGACATATTAGTAAATGAAGAATGTTCAACTTTGATATATTTTTAACACATGATTTCTTACATTTTTTTTTTACTTATTAGATTATGATGGAGATGATGGTAGCACAGCAATTGACATGGCGTCTTTAAGCAGTGATTCATCCGATGCTGATGGTGAATGAATGGTGTTGAAGTCTAGTGATGGTGAATGAAATGATGTTGAAGTTGTATTTGATAATTGTTTGAGTTTGAGACTTTGAGTGGTTTCCATGTTTAAGACTCTTGTTTCATGTTCAGACTCGTGTGATATTGCTTTTATTTTGGAACAATGTGGTGGTTTGGAATTCAAATTTAGATCTTTCGGTACTGATGTTCTAGAATTGTTTAAGAGAGTAATTTACTTGTGATTTACCATGATTAAGAAGTGTCCACTATTTATACAGATGACTGTTTATTAGGTACCGGTTCTCAAACGGTTTTTAAACGGTCTAATGCCGGTTGGACCACTAAAGACCGAACCGTTCACGTTTCCGGGTCGTACTCCGGTTCGGTTCTGACAACATTGCAAATGACTTTCGGATTCGTTTTTAGAATATTCCAAAGGGGTACCATCACTAATTTCAGTCGATTTTTCCAAAATGTCATTTTCTTTCGAATTTGGAGGCTACATATCATGGATTAAGCCCGAGGCTATTCTCCACCGATAATGAAGTCTATTGATCCAATTCTCCACCAATGATTAAGTCAATTAAGAACCAATTTGGACGAATTTATTTTCGGATGACATTTTCGTAATATTTTGTGTGATTTTTTTTAAATACCATTTTCCTATGATTTTTAAGGCTACAGATCACGGATTCGGTCTGAGCCTATTCTTCAACAATGAATAAGTCTATTAAGCACCGATTAGGACAAATTTATTTCGGGTCCATTTTTGGCAGATTCCAAAAGGGGTACTACTATCACTAATTTCGGGCGATTTTTCAGAAATGTCATTTTCTTTCGAATTTGGGGGCTACAGATCAAGTATTTAGCCGGAGGCTATTCTCATCGATAATGAAGTCTATTGATCCGGTTCTCTACCGATGATTAAGTACATTAAGCACCGATCTGGACGAATTTATTTTCGGATGGTATTTTCGATACTTTATTGGTGATTTTTTTTGAAAGGTCATTTCTTTAGATTTTGAAGGCTGCAAATCATAGATTAAGTCTGAGGCTATTCTTCACCCATGATGAAGTCAATTAAGCATCAATTTCAGGGGATTTATTTCGGTTCCATTTTTTGCGGATTTCAAAGGGGTACCATAACAGATTTCGAGCGATTTTTCCGAAAATGCCATTTTCTTTTAATTTGAAGGCTACAGATCACAGATTTAGCCCAAGGCTATTCTCCACTGATGATAAAGTCTATTGATCCTATTATCCACCGATGATTAAATCCATCAAGCACCGATTTGGGCAGATTTACTTTCGTATGCCATTTTCGTAATATTTTGGGTGATTTTTTTCGAAAGATCATTTTCCTATGATTTTTAAGGCTACAGATCACGGATTCGGTCTGGGCCTATTCTTCAACAATGAATAAGTCCAGTAAACACCGATTAGGGCAAATTTATTCCGGGTCCATTTTTTGCAGATTCCAAAGGGGTACTACTATCACTAATTCCGGGCGATTTTTCAGAAATGTCATTTTCTTTCCAATTTGGGGGCTACAGATCACGTATTTAGTAGGAGGCTATTCTCACCGGTAATGAAGTCTATTGATCCGGTTCTCTACCGATGATTAAGTCCATTAAGCACCGATTTGGGCGAATTTATATTCGGATGGTATTTTCGTAACTTTATTAGTGATTTTTTTTGAAAGGCCATTTCTTTAGATTTTGAAGGCTGCAAATCACATATTAAGCCTGAGGCTATTCTTCACCCATGATGAAGTCAATTAAGCACCGATTACAGGGGATTTGTTTCGGTTCCATCTTTTGCAGATTCCAAAGGGGTACCATACAGATTTCGAGCAATTTTTTCGAAAATGCCATTTTCTTTCAATTTTGAAGGCTACAGATCATAGATTTAGCCCAAGGTTATTCTCCACTGATGAAGAAGTCTATTGATCATGTCACATCCCGATTTCTAAAATATTTAAATAACAAGTTTGCTCCGGAGCATATTTAAAATTTTGAAAGAAAGAAACAATAATGTGCTCGAAATACCAATCCTGAAAATACACCTTATAATTTAAAAGCAAAGCCCTAACATTTGGGCAAACCTCAATCCATAAAGTCTTATCCTTTTAAATCTCCAGTCATTACTCATAATCATAAAGCAAATAACTAAAGATTACAGATGCTGCTTACTCCGATCCGTGGTCAGACATCTTCAGAAGTGCTCACGTGGTCCTCCTCGGGTAGCCTGTTCTCTCACTGGATGCTCCTCGACTGGATGCTCCCTAGCTCCTCCTCTACGACCTGGTGAGTGGGTTGGGGTCAGTCTACGCCATTACTTAAACTTGAGGCACTTACGGGTGTTCCCTTAAGTGTTCACCTCAAAACTTGTGGAAGTTGTTCATTCTTCCACCCTTTAAATTTTAACCCTTAAAAACGTGGGAGTTGTTGTTACTCGCCACCCTCAAAATTCTTAAACCTTTGACCGACACTGGGATCCCCTCACTAACTAGTCCAACCGCCCAGCTCATACGTATGAGGGCCAACATAGGCCTTTCCTTAAACCTTTTTATGGGAGTAATCTATTCAACCCCATAAACCTTAAGAGTATATCATACTCTTCCTTTAAACTCCATGTGATGTCTAAGTGATTCATCCACATGTTCCTTAAGAGCAAACTTGCTCTTCCTTTAAACTTTCACTCGGGCGGGGGACTGGCGTTAGTGAACTACCTTTAAATCTTTTCACCCTAATCTAATTAGGAGTGAAATACCTCTTAAATGTTGATCCTTAAAGATCAAGCAACCTTCATTAAATAACATAAATATAAAAGCTTCAAGTAAATACTGACAGCTCAATAATCATATACTTCACAATCATAACTCAAATAGAGCATCTCAGATAATATCTCAAATATAACATGCTTTATCAATCACGACATAAATCAATAACTGGCATACAATTCATATAAACACACATACGTAAAACTCGTAAGTCAAATATTTGAAAATACGTAAGGCGTAGAATTTACCCCCTTAAACCACTCACCTCGAAAAGATGAATCTTCTCAGACTATGAAAAATTCCAAAACTCCCTCCTATAACATTCCCCTCGCTTTTACGATTCCGTGAGCGCAGACGGTTCCTCGATCGGACGTCTATTGATCGAGTTATGGCCAAAATAAATATTCTGTCAGTTTAGAAGTACCAAGTACCGCAACTGATATTTTCCAGTCAACACAGTTGACCACGACCTGCTGGAAAAATTACACATTTTATCCTCCAACTTTTTCGAATTTCCACGAATGGTACCTGATAGTTGACATGTTCTTCCTCAAACTTGGGAGACTCGGTTCTCCCTCATCCGACGTCCGAATTTGATTTCGTCGATACCGTGACGCTCCTGAGATCGCCCTCTACGCGACCGTATCCACCTTTTGAAGTTTGGTCGAAGTTGATTTTTTTCCAGAATCCGGCGATACTCCGGCGAGACGCCAATGAAGCTCCGACGAACCACCAAACGACCACTAACTTGGATTCTGACTCCGTGGAATGATTTCTGACCTTCTCCCGACCAAAACCCAGTGCCCAGACTCCTTCCTTTCCCTCTTCTTCTATTCCCTACTTTTTTTCCTTTTCTTTAACGTGGAGGTGAGGCCGCGGTGTACGCTCGACGTGAACCGAGGCGAGTTGCTGCTTTCGTTGGGCGTCGGTGATTTGGGACGTCCCACGTCCTGCTTCTGATCGAGGTAAGTTGGTGATGTAACCTGGGAAGTGATGATGATGGTGTTCGTCGGCTGGTGGTGGCGATGTGTTTGACGGCGGGGAGATGGTGATGGAGGTAAAGATGACGAGAAGGTGATAGTGATGGTAAGCAGTTGGGGGAGGAAGAGAGGAATAAGTCTGGCATAAAGCCCACCGACTCTCTACTTCTCAAACATGGCCCTTCAATCAGTTTCTCAAGAACCTTGCTTATGCTATGCTTGACATGAGGTTAAATTTAACATACAATGTGCTGTCCGCTGCGAATGGGAGGAGATGAGAAGGAAAGTATATTATACACTACTTGATTCTTATCTTGACAAGAGTAGTTCAGATCCAGAGTAAATGTTGTAGGGACTGGATGGTTGGATGATTGTGCTGCTAGCTGTAGGGAGGAAGTGTTCTCGGTTGGATCTGTATTGCAGGTGGGGATTAATTTGATCACGGGAGAGAGGTGGAGAAGTGGGGCAGTGTACATATATGGGGTGGGGGTGACGTGGGGTGGGGTGGTTTTTTTTTCTTTTTTTTGTTTTGTTTTACTACTAATAATAATATGTTATTATTATTATTCCTAATTCGCAATTGTAACCATTCGTACGTAATCGTCTATCCAATCGATAATTTATCATGATCGAACTTGAACTCAAATGTCAGGGTGTTACATTTCCTCCACCCTTATAAAAATTTCGTCCTCGAAATTAGAATTGTTGGATAGGTATTGAGGTACAAACACTTGTATTCAATGGGATGTAACATTTCCCTCCTCCTTAAATAAATTTCGACCTCGAAATTTTGGGTGAACTTCATTGTTGCATTTGGCGGAACACAACTTAATCACCGGGACTATTATTTAATAGTGCATATTGAGAGCTGAACGCTAAAATACATTGGGACCGATCAACCACTGATCTAATCATCATTAAGCAATTCCGGGTACTTCTCTCGCATGCTAGTTTCTGTCTCCCAAGTCGCAGGCTCGTTGCCCTGGTTCCTCCATATCACCTTCACCATTACAATTTTCTTTTTTCTCAATCTCTTTTCCTGTTTATCCACGATCTTGACTGGGGTTTCCTCGTAAGTCAAATCGTCCTCCAACTGGATGTCCTCATGCCTGATCACGTGTTCAGGGTTAGATCGATACGCCCTCAGCATGCTTACATGGAAGACATCGTGAATCCTAGATAGGCTAGGAGGTAAAGCTAGTCGATATGCTAAGGGTCCCACACGCTCCAACACCTCGTATGGCCCGATATACCTCGAACTAAGCTTTCCCTTTTTGCCGAATCTCATTACTCCCTTCCAAGGAGACACCCTCAGAAATACCATATCACCCACTTCATGAATGCGTGGGTTTCCTGGCCTCTGAGCATTACTTTTCTGCCGGTCCTGGGCCACCTTCAAGTTTCGACGAATTGCCTCCACCTTTTCCACTGCCTTCTGTACCATATCCGGACCTTCTAGTTGTCGTACTCCTTCTTCATCCCAGTATAGTGGTGTGCGACATTTTCTCCCATACAATACCTCATATGGAGCTGCTTGTATCGAGCTGTGATACTGGTTATTGTAAGCAAACTCCATTAGGGGCAAATGCTCGTCCCAAGCTCCCTCCATCGTCAAGACACACGCTCTCAGCAGGTCTTCCAACGTTTGAATGGTCCTCTCTGACTGTCCATCAGTCTGGGGGTGATATGCAGTAGAGAAATGCACCTTAGTGCCCATAGCCTTCTGAAGACTTACCCAGAATCGTGCCGTGAAGCTAGGATCGCGATCTGACACGATGCTAAGTGGAACTCCATGTAGCCTTACTATCTCTCTCACATACAGTCTAGCCAGTTCTTCCAGCCCTGGCTTGAACTTGATTGGTATAAAATGAGCCACCTTTGAGAATCGGTCTACAATTACCCATACTCCGTCATTTCCCTTTGGGGTCCTCGGCAATCCATACACAAAGTCCATAGTGATCTTCTCCCAAGTCCATTGTGGAATTTCTAACGGTAAGTGTTCAATGACCGGGGCTTGATGCTCAGCCTTAATCATTTGACACTCCAAGCACTGATAAACATGTGCTGCTACATCCTTCTTCAATCCTGGCCACCAAAAATGCTCCTTGAGGGTACGATACATTTTTGTGGCACCAGGGTGCATCGCATAAGGTGCAGAGTGGGCCTCGTCTAGAATGTCCTTTCTTAGTTTGTCGACATCCGGCACACATAATCTTCCTTGATACATCAGTACACCATCTACCAATTCAAATTTGGTGTCCTTCCCTTCTAACACCCGTTTCTTATACTTTCCCAATTCTGTATCTTCACCCTGCTTCTCCTCGATACGTTCCTGTAACATAGGGCGAACCTTCAAGGTTGCTAACAGCTTCGTCACTTCTTCTAATTCCAATTCCACGTTCATGGCCCTCAAAGAGACCAATTCGAGTAAAGGACTCTCTCTCTTCCTACTCAATGCATCAGCTACCACATTTGCCTTTCCTGGATGGTACTTAATAGTACAATCATAATCGCTTAACAGCTCCATCCACCTCCTCTGTCTCATGTTCAACTCCTTCTGATCAGTTAAGTGTTGGTGACTTTTGTGATCAGTAAATATGGTGAAAGTCTCGCCGTAGAGATAGTGTCTCCATAGCTTTAAGGCGAATACCACAGCTGCCAACTCCAAATCATGGGTGGGGTAGTTCACCTCGTGGGGTCGTAGTTGCCTCGAAGCGTAGGCGATCACCTTTTTATCTTGCATCAGCACGCAACCCAACCCTTGATAAGAAGCATCGCTATAGATGGAATACTCCCCATCGCTTGTTGGTAGTGCCAACACTGGTGCAGACGTCAATTTCTTCTTCAGCAACTCGAATGCAGCTTGACACTTCTCGTCCCATACAAATGCCTTCCCCTTCTGCAACAATTGAGTCATGGGTCTTGCAATAATGGAGAAGCCTTCTACAAATCTTCGGTAGTACCCAGCTAAACCCAGAAAACTCCGTACTTCGGAAACGTTCTTTGGTGGAACCCAGTTCGTCACAGCTTCAATCTTCTTGGGATCCACTTCAACTCCACGACCAGAGATCATATGCCCCAGGAATAGGACTTCGTCTAGCCAGAAATCGCATTTAGAGAACTTGGCATACAACTCTTCCTCCTTCAGTTTCTGTAACACCACCGTTAAGTGCTCTTCATGATCTTTCTCGCTCTTAGAGTAGATGAGAATGTCATCAATGAAGACGATGACAAACTTATCTAGATATTCATGAAGAACTCGGTTCATCAAAGCCATGAAAGCTGCCGGTGCATTAGTTAAACCGAACGGCATGACCAAGAACTCGTAGTGACCATATCGTGTGCGAAATGCCGTCTTAGGTATGGATCCATCTGCTACCCTCAATTGATGGTATCCAGACCTCAGATCAATTTTTGAGAACACTTTTGCTCCTTGTAACTGGTCGAAGAGATCGTCTATCCTTGGCAGAGGATAACGATTTTTGATGGTTGCCTTGTTCAACTTCCTATAGTCGATGCACAGTCTCATACTGCCATCCTTCTTCTTTACGAACAACACTGGTGCTCCCCACGGTGATACGCTAGGGCGGATGAAACCCTTCTCCAATAGCTCTTCTAACTGCTCCTTCAGCTCCTTCAACTCCACTGGTGCCATGCGGTATGGAGGAATGGATATTGGTGCTGTACCAGGAACCACTTCAATATCAAACTCTACCTCCCGTTGCGGCGGTAATCCAGGAAGATCTTCGGGGAATACCTCGGGGTATTCTCTCACAATAGGTACATCTTCTATTTTCTTCTCATGCACCACCTTGATATGGGCCAAGTAGGCTTCACATCCTTTTTGGATCAATGAGAACGCCTTCATCGCAGAGATTAAGCCTCCTGGAATCAGCTTTCTAGTACCCTTGAATAATGCCATGCCCTTGCCCTCAATTTCAAGGCTAACCTCCTTCTTGTAACAATCCACCCTTGCTCGGTTCTTGGACAGCCAATCCATACCCAGTATGACGTCAAACTCGTCAAACGGTAGTATGATCAGATTTGCTTCGAACTCGTAACCAGCCACTGTGATAGTGCAATTCCTAATGACGGAATCCACTATCAACGTATCCCCTACCGGGGTTCTCACTCCTAAGTTCTGACCCAACTTCACTGATGGTATTCTTAAGTTTCTAGCAAACTTTGTAGAGATAAATGAATGCGTAGAACCAGAATCAATGAGCACAAAAGCTGAATGTCGGTAAAGAGTAATCATACCCGTCACCACTTCAGGTGCAGCATCAGCCTCTTCTCTCCTCATGGCAAAGATCCTTGGTTGCCCAGCTGTTTGAGACCCCTGGCCCCTATCATTACGGATGGACCGCCCAACATTTCCTCCATTGTTGTTGAAAGATCGGTTTGGCTGATTGCCAAACTGGTACCCGGTGTGAGTTGTGCCTCCTCCGCCACGAACAGACTGTTCAGACTGAGTCCTCCCTTGCCCTCCCTTCTTAGGGCATTCTCTGGCGAAATGGCCTGGCTCGTTGCAGTGGAAACAGACCCCTAAGTGCAGCTTGCATTCTCCTGGATGAATCTTCCCACACTGGTTGCAAGGACCCCTGTTACTACAGGTCGGACCCGGCTTAGTCGAACCAGCCCGACTTTGAGTGCCTCCATAACTGGGTGAACCATTCGGCCTCCTCCTGGTCTGACTCATCTGGCTCGGTCCCTCTGTGAAGCTCATAGCCTTTCTCTTATGACCATCTCGTTGTACCCTTTCTTCGTACAAGCTCTGTTCTACCCTCTCCACTCGGAGGGCTGCCTGATAAATCTCCTCTCTACTATTCCATACATGTGCACTCAGGTCCCTCCTAAGGGTAGGCTTCAGGCTCTCTAGGTAGTGACTGCGTTGAATCCCAGCATCCTGGAACTGTGGCCCGCCATAAGGGAGAAGTTTATCAAACCGAGATGTGTACTCCGCCACTGTCTCTCTCTTTTCACTTCCCCACTTTTGCCTGATCATAAGGAATTCCCTCTGCTGCTCGGTCCGATAGGACATTGGTATGTAGTGGTCTTTGAACAGTTGCACAAAACCTGGCCAAGTGATGGCTGGTGGATCCTCCCGACTGGCTGGCAGTGTAGCCCACCAGTTGTAAGCAGCACCCTGCAGTAGGGACACTGTCAGCAACACTTTGTCCTCGTCATCTGCTCGCATCTCCTGTAAAGTGCGAGTGACTTTTGACAGCCACAAATCAATCTCCATGGGATCCGTCGAACGATCCCCATAGAAATCCTCTACCTTCCTCTTCCGGAACGTATCATAATCCGGTGGACGCCTAGGTTGCGGTGGAGGTGGAAGGTTGACGTGGGCATTACTAGCTCTGCATATAAGTAAGGCCCTTTTAGTAATCGAGTTATTTTTTTTTCCAATACGATTAGAGTAGACTGGAGATTTTATAAATCCTTAAAAGAAATCCTTGACTCGTTTGGCCAAACCTTTAAAACACGTTTTTTTTTTCTTTTCCTTTAAAACATAAGCCTTTAAAACTACGACCGATATTCCAGTATTCCTTGGAGACCAAGGAACAGAAGAACACCGGCTCTGATACCAAAATGTCACATCCCGATTTCTAAAATATTTAAATAACAAGTTTGCTCCGGAGCATATTTAAAATTTTGAAAGAAAGAAACAATAATGTGCTCGAAATACCAATCCTGAAAATACACCTTATAATTTAAAAGCAAAGCCCTAACATTTGGGCAAACCTCAATCCATAAAGTCTTATCCTTTTAAATCTCCAGTCATTACTCATAATCATAAAGCAAATAACTAAAGATTACAGATGCTGCTTACTCCGATCCGTGGTCAGACATCTTCAGAAGTGCTCACGTGGTCCTCCTCGGGTAGCCTGTTCTCTCACTGGATGCTCCTCGACTGGATGCTCCCTAGCTCCTCCTCTACGACCTGGTGAGTGGGTTGGGGTCAGTCTACGCCATTACTTAAACTTGAGGCACTTACGGGTGTTCCCTTAAGTGTTCACCTCAAAACTTGTGGAAGTTGTTCATTCTTCCACCCTTTAAATTTTAACCCTTAAAAACGTGGGAGTTGTTGTTACTCGCCACCCTCAAAATTCTTAAACCTTTGACCGACACTGGGATCCCCTCACTAACTAGTCCAACCGCCCAGCTCATACGTATGAGGGCCAACATAGGCCTTTCCTTAAACCTTTTTATGGGAGTAATCTATTCAACCCCATAAACCTTAAGAGTATATCATACTCTTCCTTTAAACTCCATGTGATGTCTAAGTGATTCATCCACATGTTCCTTAAGAGCAAACTTGCTCTTCCTTTAAACTTTCACTCGGGCGGGGGACTGGCGTTAGTGAACTACCTTTAAATCTTTTCACCCTAATCTAATTAGGAGTGAAATACCTCTTAAATGTTGATCCTTAAAGATCAAGCAACCTTCATTAAATAACATAAATATAAAAGCTTCAAGTAAATACTGACAGCTCAATAATCATATACTTCACAATCATAACTCAAATAGAGCATCTCAGATAATATCTCAAATATAACATGCTTTATCAATCACGACATAAATCAATAACTGGCATACAATTCATATAAACACACATACGTAAAACTCGTAAGTCAAATATTTGAAAATACGTAAGGCGTAGAATTTACCCCCTTAAACCACTCACCTCGAAAAGATGAATCTTCTCAGACTATGAAAAATTCCAAAACTCCCTCCTATAACATTCCCCTCGCTTCTACGATTCCGTGAGCGCAGACGGTTCCTCGATCGGACGTTTATTGATCGAGTTATGGCCAAAATAAATATTCTGTCAATTTAGAAGTACCAAGTACCGCAACTGATATTTTCCAGTCAACACAGTTGACCACGACCTGCTGGAAAAATTACACATTTAATCCTCCAACTTTTTCGAATTTCCACGAATGGTACCTGATAGTTGACATGTTCTTCCTCAAACTTGGGAGACTCGGTTCTCCCTCATCCGACGTCCGAATTTGATTTCGTCGACACCGTGACGCTCCTGAGATCGCCCTCTACGCGACCGTATCCACCTTTTGAAGTTTGGTCGAAGTTGATTTTTTTCCAGAATCCGGCGATACTCCGGCGAGACGCCAATGAAGCTCCGACGAACCACCAAACGACCACTAACTTGGATTCTGACTCCGTGGAATGATTTCTGACCTTCTCCCGACCAAAACCCAGTGCCCAGACTCCTTCCTTTCCCTCTTCTTCTATTCCCTACTTTTTTTCCTTTTCTTTAACGTGGAGGTGAGGCCGCGGTGTACGCTCGACGTGAACCGAGGCGAGTTGCTGCTTTCGTTGGGCGTCGGTGATTTGGGACGTCCCACGTCCTGCTTCTGATCGAGGTAAGTTGGTGATGTAACCTGGGAAGTGATGATGATGGTGTTCGTCGGCTGGTAGTGGCGATGTGTTTGACGGCGGGGAGATGGTGATGGAGGTAAAGATGACGAGAAGGTGATAGTGATGGTAAGCAGTTGGGGGAGGAAGAGAGGAATAAGTCTGGCATAAAGCCCACCGACTCTCTACTTCTCAAACATGGCCCTTCAATCAGTTTCTCAAGAACCTTGCTTATGCTATGCTTGACATGAGGTTAAATTTAACATACAATGTGCTGTCCGCTGCGAATGGGAGGAGATGAGAAGGAAAGTATATTATACACTACTTGATTCTTATCTTGACAAGAGTAGTTCAGATCCAGAGTAAATGTTGTAGGGACTGGATGGTTGGATGATTGTGCTGCTAGCTGTAGGGAGGAAGTGTTCTCGGTTGGATCTGTATTGCAGGTGGGGATTAATTTGATCACGGGAGAGAGGTGGAGAAGTGGGGCAGTGTACATATATGGGGTGGGGGTGACGTGGGGTGGGGTGGTTTTTTTTTGTTTTTTGTTATTTGTTTTGTTTTACTAATAATAATAATATGTTATTATTATTATTATTATTATTATTCCTAATTCGCAATTGTAACCATTCGTACGTAATCGTCTATCCAATCGATAATTTATCATGATCGAACTTGAACTCAAATGTCAGGGTGTTACAGATCATATTCTCCACTGATGATTAAGTCCATCAAGCACCGATTTGGGCAGATTTACTTTCATATGCCATTTTCGTAACTTTTTGGGTGATTTTTTAAAATGTAATTTCTTTAGATTTTGAAAGCTACACATCATAGATTCAGCCTTAGGCTATTTTTACCGATGATTAAGTCCATAACCACTAATTTGACTGGATTTCTTTCGAGTACATTTTTGGCATATTCAAAAGGGCTACCATCACAGATTTCAAGCGATTTTTTCGAAATGTCAATTTTCATTCTATTTTGAAGAATACAGATCACGGATTCGGCATGAGACTATTCTCCACCGATGATGAAGTTTGTTGATCCTATTCTCCACCGATGATTAAGTCTATCAAGCACCAATTTGAGCGCATTTATTTTTGGATGGCATTTTAGTAACCTTTTGTGTGATTTTTTTTCGAAAGGCCATTTCTTTTGATTTTGAAGGCCACAAATTAGAGATTCGGCTTGAGCATATTCTTTACTGATGATTAAGTTTATTAAGCACCGATTTGTCTGAATTTCTTCCCGGTCTATTTTTGGCAGATTCCAAAGGGGTACCATCACAGGTTTCAGGCGATTTTTTCAAACTACCATTTTCTTTCGATTTTGAAATTAAAGCTACAAATCACGGAGTTGGCCTGAGGCTATTCTCCACTGATGATAATGTCTATTGATCCTACTTTCCACCGATGATTAAGTTCATCAAGCACCGATTTAAGGAGATTTATTTTCGGATGACATTTTCGTAACTTTTTAAGTGATTTTTTTTGAAATGCCATTTCTTTACATTTCGAAGGCTATAGATCACAGATTCGACCTGCGGCTATTCTTCACTCGATGATTAAGTCCATTGAACATCAATTTGGGCGGATTTCTTTCGAGTCCATTTTTGGCGGGTTCCAAATGGGTGCCATCATAGATTTCAGGCATTTTTTTCTAAATGCCATTTTTTCGATTTTAAAGGCTTTATATCACGGATTCGGCCTTTCTCCACCAATGATGAAGTTTATTGAACCTATTCTCCACCGATGATTAAGTCCATCAAGCACAAATTTGAGCTGATTTATTTTCGGATGGCGTTTTCATAACTTTTTGGTCAATTTTTATTCGAAAGAACATTTCTTTAGATTTTGAAAACTACATATCTCAAATTCGGCCCGATACTATTCTTCACGGATGATTAAGTCCATTAAGCATCGATTTGGACGGATTTCTTATGGGTCCATTTTTGGCGATTCCAAAGGGGTACCATCACAAATTTCAGGGGATTTTTCCGAAATGCCAATCTTCATTCTATTTTTAAAGCTACGGATCACAAATTTGGCAGGTGATATTCTCCACCGATGATGAAGTTTATTTATCCTATTATCCATCAATGATTAAGTCTATTAAGCATCGATTTGGGCGGATTTATTTTCTAATGATATTTTCTTAATTTTTTGGCAAATTTTTTTTGAAAGACCATTTTCCTTTGATTTTGAAGGCTTTAGATCACATATTTGACCTCAGTCTATTTTTCACCGTTGATTATGTTCATTAAGCATCGTTTTGGGCTGAATACTTCTGGGTCTATTTTTTGCAGATTCCAAAGGGGGTACCATCATAGATTTCAGGCGATTTTTTTGAAATGTCATTTTCTTTTGATTTTGAATAGTAAAGATCATGGTTTAGGCCCGAGACTATTCTCCACCGATACTGAAGTCTACTGATCCTATTCTCCACCGATGATTAAGTCCATCAAGCACCAATTTGGATGGATTTATTTCCGATGACATTTTCGTAACTTTTTGGTCGATTTTTATCGAAAGGCCATTTCGTTAGATTTTGAAGACTATAGATCACAAATTTTTGCATGATGCTATTCTTCACCGATTATTCAGTCCATTAAGCACCAATTTGGATAGAATTGTTTCAGATCCATTTTTGGCGGATTGCAAAGGGGTACCAATACCATCACAAATTTCGGGTGATTTTTTCGAAATGCCATTTTCTTTCGATTTTGAAGGCTACAAATAACGGATTCGATCCGAGGCTATTCTCCACAGATGATGAAGTTTATTGTTCCTATTCTCCACCGATGATTAAGTTCATTAGACACCGATTTTTTGATGACATTTTCGTAACTTTTTGGCGATTTTTCTTTGAAATACCCTTTCATTTGATTTTGAAGGCTAAATATTAGGGTTTCGGCCTGAGGCTATTCTTCACTGATGATTGAGTTCATTAAGCATCAATTTGGGCGGATTTCTTCCGGGTCCATTTTTGGCGGATTTCGAAGGTTACCCATTACAGATTTCTGGTGATTTTTAGAAAATGTAATTTTCTTTCAATTTTGAAGGCTACAAATCACTAATTCGGCCCGAGACTATTCTCCATCGATGATGAAGTTTGTTGATCCTATTCTCCACCGATGGTTAAGTCCATTAAGCATCGATTTGGTCGGATTTATTTTTGGATGTCATTTTTGTAACTTTTTTGCGCGATTTTTTTCGAAAGGACATTTCCTTGGATTTTGAAGGCTATAGATCACGGATTCGTCTTGGGGCTATTCTTCACCGATCATTAAGTCCAGTAAGCACTGATTTGGGCATATTTCTTCTGGGACCACTTTTCGTTGATTTTAAAAGACTTTTTCAATTTTGAAGGTTATCCATCACATATTTCATGCGATTTTTTTCAGAAATGACAATTTCTTTTGAAGGTTATCCATCAAAATTTTGGCCGATTTTTGGGAATGCTATTTTCACCGATTTTGAATTCTATCAATCGCAATTTTTGGCCAATTTTTTTTTCCGTTGAATCAGTTCCCCTCTTTATTAATATGAAAAGAAAAACCAATACAACGAGGCAAAGCAGTAACGCTTTGAGTAATGTCAAAAATCCTGCTCACTCCTACTCAACCTGTAACTGCTCACTCAGCTACTCAAAAACAAGCAACAAGCAAAGAAAAATCAAAGATATCCCAAACTCTCAAGATCCCCCTGCAGCATGGCATTCCCAGCCACCAGGTATCGTAGATCCGCTTGCAGCTGGGTAGCAACCTTTTCTGGGTCTGGCAGAGCACCACCATGTACAACTCTGCAACGCTCACGCCAAATGCACGTCAACACCATACACCACACAACCCCATGCCATCGCAATTTCCCTGAGGGCTGAACCAAAGAGCAGACAGCAGCCATCATTGCGTCCCAACCTCCTGCTTCAAACAATCGACAGTGCAAATTCAAGACAAGCAGATGAGCAAAAGAGCAATGCATAAACAGGTGCTCTCTCGTTTCCATCGGGAAAGTGCACAATGGGCAAGAGGCAATAGTTATCTTCCTCCAGCTCAGAAGTTTGTCCCTCGTCACTATTGCATTTCTTATAATAAGCCAAGCAATGAAGCTATAGCGAGGAGGACATAACCTATTCCAGACGAGCTTAAACCACGGTACCTCTGGCTGCTTGGCACGCAAGGAATCCCAGACTAATTGACTCGACTCTACTGTCACTTCAGGAATTGGCCAAGTGAAACCACTTCCTAAAGCGTAGTATAGCGGGTTTGGGTTTAATTATCAACCCGGGTCCTAGATATGATGACTACTCAGTGAATTCATGTTATCTAGCAATGAAACTGGAATGCAAGTCTAAACTAACAAACTAACAAAGCAAACAAACGGTTGTATTCAGGTTAAGAGGTCACCCGGATATGGTTCCCCCTAGACTGCAGTTAAGCCGGATTGTAATTACCAAGTTCAGTTTCTATGATAGTTATACTGCGGAAGGTTCTTAAACAGCCTGAAGTCTCGACTAAAGGTCTTCAGACCCTCTCAATCTGAGTCTCTAGCGGGCGACTAACCTCCACCGGAGTAAACAGATTGAGGCCCTAAGAACAAAACCTCCACTACCGGAGTAAATCCGGTACAGAATAGTGAGTTGGTTCCTCGAGTAAAGTCACCAACTCCCTACCTTCAATCAAGGATACTCTATTAACCTAGGCAGATATTCTCATTTTAGGTTAAAGCAGAAACAACAGGAATTTGATCAGGATTCAAGTCATTCAATCATTAAAACCTCAATCGAATATAATCAATCATAGAATCAGTACTTGGGTTCATACAATCAAACCTAACATACAAATCTAGGGTTCTCCATACCCAGATGAATGGGAGAACTACTCCAAGGAGAAGAAAGCAAAAGCAGAATCAGACACGGAATTCATACTGCGAAGGATGGATTCCTGCTTCTGGACGTTGATTGGCACTTCTCCAAGCTCAAACTGGCCTCCAATGGTGTTGAAGATCAATCTAGGGCACTTGGGAACTCTTGCTCGTCACTTTCTCTCTCTAGGAACTGATCTCTCTCTCAAAAACTCGAATCCCCTTGAATTGTGGCTGAAACTCTGCTTAAAAGCATCAGTGGCCAAAGCACGGTCGAGGGCACGGCCGTGCTTTGCCTGACTCCACCCGTGCCTCGGCCAGGGCTTAATTACACGGCCAGCAAGTGGGTTAAGCACGGCCGTGCTTCGCGTAGGACACGGCCGTGCTTTGGTGGAACACGGCCGTGCTTCGGTCCCCGTGTTTGCAACTGATTTGGCCAAACCAAATTTGCTCTCGGCATAAAAAGCACGGCCAGCAGTACACGGCCGTGTAATGCCTTAGGTCTGCCCGTGTTTTGGCTCCAGCTCACCAAAATGACTTCCGAATGCCCCGAAACTCGCGGTTAGCCTTCCCTTTAACGCCTGGGACCTGAAACATGACAAAATAGCACAACCCGGCGTAAAATAGGCCAAAACACACGACTATACTCCTCAAACGGATAAGAACTAGGGGCGCAAACATGTGCATTTACATCGTTATCAAATTCCCCCACACTTAACCGTTTGCTTGTCCCCAAGCAAACCTAACTCAAACCAATGCAACTCTCCAGACCTTCATAGCAACAAACAACCCAGATCGTAAGTAGAGGACTTCCTAGATCATTTAGCAACTTACGAGGTCAACCGACGCTCAAGTCATCTCAAAGCTTCTTATCGAGTCGGCATCATGGCAAAAAGTGAACAGAGGACAAATGAATTGTGGATGAAGAGATTCTCAAAAACAAAGGATCATGGACTCACATTTTTCAAGGTGCTCAAGTTTCTTTGAAGATGGTTGGAACCCCTTTTTTCTGTTTTGCTTGTTTTCTGTTATTTTTCTTTTCTTTTCTTTCCAAAGGTCCCAACCTGCTCTTACCGGCCATGCCAGGAGCGGATGTCTCGAGCCTCGTGCGGGGGAAAGACATGTAAGGGGGCTGGAGGTAGTAGGTGGAAATTGGGAACGGATTCCCGTCTCCCCTTACACACTTTCGCCCTATTCGCACGGGAGACGTTTATTTTGAAGCACATTTTCGAGCACCTGTTATTTTCAAAACATGATACAAGAGTCCATGACAGGTAGAGAATCCACAACACCACACCATTCAAGGGTCCTAAGATCACTAATTCACTCAATCAACCAACACAATATGAAGAAGAAATGAGACTCCTTAAATGCATCAACATCCTCCATAGTGCTACACTACCTCCCTAGGTTGCATATTACTATAAAGACTGTCAATTCAAAGCACACTGAGCAGGCAATTGCAAGGAAACACGTACTTGGAGCCCTCAAATTCAAAAATTTGGACAGTGGACTAGGCTCCAAGCACACAAATAGATCTAATGCAGTCAAAAGATAAACATCCCCTCACACTTAAGCTCGACATTGCCCTCAATGGAGAAGAGGGAAGGATAAGGGAACGATGTTACCGGTATGCACGGACTGCAGGAGACTGGAAACGGGCCAGTCGGGGCACGCACAGCCAAAGGGAAACAGAAGAGCTCAAACACAATATGTTAGGTTCAATGGTCAGCCCAATAAAATATCATCCAAACCAAAAGAAAACAAACCAAACCGGGTTACAATCCGACTCAAAACACAAGAAAGAAAATCAAACCGTGGTGGGGTTGCCTCCCCACAAGCGCTTCTTTACCGTCGTATTAGCTGGACGCCCATGGTGGATACTCAGGGCGGTGCAGGAACAGGTGCCTCCAAGAGCGGATCCACGTCGCTCTTGAGGTACAGCTTGAGGTTGTGGCCGTACACCCGACGGATGCGACCATCATCATCAGTCAGCTCGACCTGGCCATCTGGCAAGATGCAGGAGAGCGAGTACCCAGACGGCCAGGGTGGTCGTGGTGCAGGAGGTGGGACCAGCTCATAGTGGGCTCCACTCTTCTTCCGTGCAGGCTTAGCAACCTGCTGCTTCGGCCGCCACTCCTCCTTGAGCTTTTTGTTCGGAGGCGAGACTGGATGGAGTGGCGGCGAAGGAATGATAGGAGGGTCCTGCAAAATGAGAGGTGCAGAAGGATACACGACAGGCTCGTGTACCTGGTCAGAAATGGCATGCACAGGGGTGACAGCAATCATAGCACAGTGATCAAATTCAGTCATAGAAAAAGTAGCCTGTTCATCCCCAGCACGCAGGATCAATTTACCATCATGCACATCAATAAGTGCCTTGGCGGTGGCAAGAAATGGCCTACCTAGAATCAAAGGCACATCCACATCCTCATGCACATCAAGAATAACAAAATCAACAGGATATGTGAATGTACCTACTTTAACAAGCAGATCCTCAATGATACCCTTAGGATGCAAGATAGAACGATCAGCTAACTGAATGCTCATCCTAGTAGGGCTAAGTTCACCTAGGTCTAGCATTTTATACAACTTATATGGCATGACGTTAATGCTAGCGCCTAGGTCCGCCAAGGACTTTCCTACATGCATGCTGCCAATAGTAAGAGGGATAGTAAAACTCCCTGGATCCTTGCGCTTCTCGGGCAGCTTGTTCTGCAGGATAGCAGAACACTCCTCGCTCAACATCACTGTCGAGAGATCCCCAAGTTTCTTCTTGTTGGTGCAGATATCTTTCATGAACTTGGCATACTTGGGCATCTTCGACAGTGCCTCCATGAACGGTATGCTGATGTTGAGCTGCTTCAACATTGCCATGAACTTGGCAAACTCAGTCTCCAGCTTGTCCTTGTGTAGGCGAGTGGGGAAGGGAAGCTGGGGTACATGCTCCTTAACCACTGGTTGTGGCTTGGGAGCAGGGGCTTCCTTCTCCACCCGCACTTCTGCATCGTCGGCTGGAAGTGCTGGAGCAGGCAGTGGTTCCTCCTGTCTGGCCGGGACAGGGTCAGCAGATATGGTCTTACCGCTCCTGGTAAAAATGGCATCCAGCTGCTGATGCTGGTGAGGATCTCGAGGATTAGGAACAGTGGTGGCAGGCAGAGTCCCCGGTGCCCTGGTGGTGCTCTGGCGGGCCAAGATGCCCACCTGGGTCTGCAGATCCTGCAAAATGGCACCCTGGTTCCGCTGACCTGCCTCCAGTGATGTGATAGCAGCCTGGGTGCTAGTCATGAATGAAGCTAGAATGTTTTCCAGCTTCGTCATCCTGTCATCTGGGGCCGGAGCTGCTGCTGGCTCGGCAAACTAGCGCTGGGGCTGCTGGAATGGCTGGCCCTGCCTAGACTGGTAGGGCTGCTGCTGTGGGTCTGGCCCCTAGCGAGCCTGGAAGGGCTGCCTCTGCTGAAAACCACCTGCTGGTGCTGGGAAACCAGGTGGTTTAGTGGTGTTGCTGCTCCAGGCGAAGTTGGGATGCTGGCGCCACCCCTCATTATATGTGCTACTGTATGGATCGAGGCGCCTCGCATTGGCGATGAAGGCCAACTGCTCCTGGGGTGTGGTAGACTCCCTCATAGCCTGGCAGTCCTCCACTAGGTGATTGGAGCTCTCACACCACTGACACTGAGCAACTGGAGGTGTAGCCAAACCTCTGCCCGGAATCAGACTGTTGGGCTGCTTCAATGTCTGCACTAGCTCAGCCACCTACTGCTCGAGCCCGGATCTGGTCTCCATGGCGTGCACACCACGGTCCCGGGACTGTCTGCCTCGGCTACCCTGTCCCCAAGAATGATCTCTGGCAGCCAAAGTACTGATCATCTGGTTCAGCTCGGGTGGAGTCTTGGTAAGAATATCCCCTCCTGGGCATAGAGACTCAATCACCCTCTGGCTATCTGGCGAAAGGGCACTGTAGAAGTTCCCCACTGTGAATGCATCACTGAAGCCATGATGGGGGCACTGCCAGAAATAGCCCATGTACCGCTCCCATGCATCACGAAGTGACTCATCTGGCTCCTGGCGGAAGTGAGTGATCTCCCGCTGAATCTCTGTAGTCTTCGATGCCAGATAATACCTGTGCACGAACTTGTCCGCCAGATCGTCCCAAGAGGTGATGGACAATGGGGGCTGGGTCTCCAACCACCTCTTAGCATTCCCCGCCAGAGAATGGGGGAAGAGATGAAGGCGGATCGCATCATCCGGGACACCATTCAGCTTGAACCCGTTTGTCAGCTGCAGAAAACGGGAAAGATGCACCCTGGCCTCCTCATTCTTCAAGCCATGGAACTGGATAGAAGATGTGATGAGCTGAATCCAGCATGGCTTGATCTCAAAGTTGTTTGCTGGGATCGGCGGGTAGAGGATGACCGGGCGGATGTCAGCAATCCGCGGAGTGTAGTAGTACTCCAAGGTGGGACCCGGCTGTGGTGGATGATGAACTCCATGATCCTGGGGTATGGGGTTGTTCCCCAGGACCTGATTCACCGGGGGAACCTGCTGTGGATTCCCCTGGTGTTGGTTGTAGTCTCCGTCCATCCCGTGCTCTTCTTCAGAATCGCTGCTCAGGCGGCCGTCTATGCGCTCTTCCGTAGCCAGTCTAGCTCGCTGTTGTCTCCTGAGCTGGCGATAGGTGCGGTCAATCTCTGGATTCAACGGCAGTAAACCTCCCGACTGGCTACGGGTCATGCACTACCTGCACACACTCAAGCAAGCACACCCGTGAAGGCACAAGTGGGACAAAGCAAACAAAGCAAAAAGAAAAGCTAAATTAACAGAAATCACTTTTCTTCAACAACCTAGCCGTCCCCGGCAACGGCGCCAAAAACTTGAATCGACTCTACTGTCACTCCAGGAATTGGCCAAGTGAAACCACTTCCTAAAGCGTAGTATAGCGGGTTTGGGTTTAATTATCAACCCGGGTCCTAGATATGATGACTACTCAGTGAATTCGTGTTATCTAGCAATGAAACTGGAATGCAAGTCTAAACTAACAAACTAACAAAGCAAACAAACGGTTGTATTCAGGTTAAGAGGTCACCCGGATATGGTTCCCCCTAGACTGCAGTTAAGCCAGATTGTAATTACCAAGTTCAGTTTCTATGATAGTTATACTGCGGAAGGTTCTTAAACAGCCTGAAGTCTCGACTAAAGGTCTTCAGACCCTCTCAATCTGAGTCTCTAGCGGGCGACTAACCTCCACCGG